TGACAAAGAGTTAATTATCTGTAAAATTAAAATGCGTTTTCGAATTCTGCTCAACAGCGATGATCTGCAGACAACTGGCAGCGACAACTGCACCTTCAACAAGGAGCACAAGGAGTTAGGCAAAGGAAACTTCACCAAGATACCGAACGGCGTCAACGGCGTCGAGGATCGCATGTCTGTTGTTTGGGAGAAAGGTGTGCATGCTGGCCTATTGGATCCCTGCCGCTTCGTTGCTGTCACCAGCACCAATGCCGCCAAAATATTCAATCTTTATCCACAAAAGGGACGCATCGCCGTGGGCTCGGATGCTGACATTGTCATTTGGAATCCAAATGCTACACGCACCATTTCCAAGGAGACGCATCACCATGCATGCGATTTCAACATTTTCGAGGGCATGGTATGCCATGGTGTGCCCGAAATGGTGTTGGTGCGCGGACGCATTTGCGTCGAAGACGGCAGCGTACGCGTTGCCGAAGGTTATGGGCGTTTCGTTAATACACCAACACGTCCGCCATATCTCTACGACGTGTTGGAAGGTAAGATTGCAGCCAACGAAGAGCACAACGGCGAAGAACATGAAGAGCAACTGAATAACGGTTTAAAGAAATTGGATTTGGGTGCTTTGGAAATCGAAATACCGTATCAGGAGCCCATCTCACGCACATTGCTCTCCATGCCGGGTGCTGGCGGTTCGGTAGCCAGTACACCATCGGGCCGTGGACGCGTCGAAGGTACACGTAACATGCAAGAATCAACGTTTTCCGTTAGCGGTAAGCAATCAGGCTTAGTTAATTCAAATGGTGAATGATTTGTGTTGAGAGCTGTATTCATTTTCCGTTTACATCTATTTTCTATCTTCTTACAGAGGAGCTAGATAAATCTGGCAATCGTTCGTGCATTCGTGTCAGAAATCCACCAGGTGGCAAGTCTTCGGGTTTCTGGTAAACCAATGCAACCATGCGCAGTCATCACACACCGGCACCAAATCGCACAATTCGATACATACATACATACAGACATACTTACATACATAGTTAAGTAACCGTAAGAGATTTGCGAAATGCCTGCATGCATACTTACATATATGCAGATAAGTATATATTGTGTTTGTATGTAAGCAGAATGTGGTTTATTGCGACAGCATGACACACACACACATACTGACACATATAAAAACCGCAAAAGACGTGTTCCCAAAATAACATGAATCAAAAGTGTGAACCGAGAAGCTACCAAACCAAATCTACCAAATCTTTGTACTACGCATATAACATGAACGAATAGCAAATGAAGTCTATAAATATCTAAATTTAATTATACAACAGTTAAAATCATATAATCATGCATACATACACACCTATGCAAATGTAAATGTATGCGCTATGTATGTGGACTTGTACAAGTATATATGTAACCACATCAGCGTAAACTAAATAGTGAATATTATTAAATATAATTGTAATATCTGCTTATTGTGCAATCATATTTTATGTGTTAGCTTAAATATATAATTATTGTTTTTTTTATTCAACTATTCTATATTTATATATTTGATTTTGTACCTTTAACATACATACATATATAAATTGTGATTAAACACAAAAGTGAATTTAAAATTAATTTTGCCTTTACCAACCAACACCACTCGTCTCTTCCCCCTCGTGAGAACGGGTCTTGGTAACGCGTATCCCCCACATATTTTCCTAAGTGACTTATAAACATTAATACGTAGATGAACTTTTCTCCTTCCGTTGGACACATTTACATACAAATACACTTACAAAATGAGGAAGCGATTATTTGTAGATCATTCACTTGAATGATTAGCGTAAATTTGTAAGACGATTTCTACCTAATTTTTATTCATATTGAAATAATAATAATAATTAAATATAAAATACAAATTAACATTTAATAAAACATCAACGTTGTATGCTAAAAACCATTGTTGTTTTATTCAGGAGTTGTTGTTGGTGTGAAACCTTTCGTTCTCTTAACAGGAAACAACATATAAGGTGAGTAAATAAAAAGAGCATAGATACTGATTGTTGCATTGAAATAGTGCAAGGATCAATGGATCTCAATAATTGTTTGATGCGCAACATAATAAGGTGGTTTGTACCCGTAAAATACCTCGTAACTGCACAGGGTTTGTCCGCAACGTAATAGGATTGATTTTATTCCGCCGCGCCTGTACTTTGAATTTGTTCCTCCTGGAAAAACCGTCAACGCCACGTTTTACGTGGAAGTCCTCAAGAGACACAAATGAAGGGTCAATCGGGTCCGACGAGACACCGCAGCCAAGTGGAAGTTGCACCCCGACAACGCCCCGGCTCACACCGCCTTTCTTGTGAGCAGATACCTAACGAAGGTAGGCATCCCAACGCTTCTGCAGCCGCTCTACAGCCCAGATGTGGCTCTCGGACTTTTTTGTTTCCTTGCCTGAAAAGACCGATGAAACGCTAGCATTTTGAGACGACAGAAGGAATGTATACAGCTTGCATCTCGGCTCTCAGGGCTATTGCGGAGAATGTCTTCCGTGAGACCTTCAGTACTTTGAAATCGCGTGGACAGCGCTCCATCGACATCACTCGTAACTGGATATTTCATCAAGACAAGGTGCCGGGCCACAGCGTGTCGCAGTATTTGGCCTCTAAAGGGATCGCCGTGTTGCAACAGCCGGCTTATTCACCCGACATGTGACCCTGTGACTTTTTTGTTTCTTAAAACAAAATCGGTGGTCATTCCAGTCGAAGCGTTCCAGAGACGTAACGAAGCATGGAAAACGCGCTGGAATCGCTGTATGGGGATGGCAGAGTTGTAGAATAATTTTCAGATATACGGTTTTGATAGAATCAGTCTCATTACTTAATTGTCATACCTCGTATATCTATGATATTTTTATATTGCAGTATTGGTATTGGAGTCCAGACGTGATTATAAATATTGGCTGACCGCTTGTAGTCTTATTTCAGACTGATAGAATTTGGTGAGCAACTTATAATAGATGATTTCTTGCTAATGCCACCAAACACATAGCAAAACCCTCTTCTTCTTCTTTACTGCTGTAGACACCGCTTACGCGGTTATAGCGGAGTCAACAACAATTTCGTCCCTCTTAATTCGCTGAATTGTGTCAATGTCGTCGTATATCTCATACAGCTTATCGTTCCATTGAATGCGACTCATAAGATGTTGTCATTCTCTATGCCTATAGAGTTTGGTTTTTGTTCGTCGAGAGAAAACTTTACTTTTCAATTGCCTCCTCAGTCCGAAGTAGCATTTGTCGGCAAGAGTTATTCTGCACTGGATTTCGAGGCAGGCATTGTTGTTGGTTCTTAATACTGGTCCCAAGATAGACTAAATTATCTATGACTGACAACAGTGGTGTGGGGGCCTAGTCGTGAGTGCGACGACTGTTTGTTTGCTGGCAGGAGATATTTCTTGGCCTCGTTCACTACCAGATTCGTTTGTTTCGCTTCCTTATCCATTCTGGAGAAAGCAGAGCTAACGGCGCGGTTGTTGTKTCCAACGATATCAATATCATCGGCGTATGCCAGCAACTGTAGACGTTTATAGAATATGGTACCTAATTAGTTCTGCAGCTCAAACTATTTTCTCCAAGAGTAGACTAAAGCAGTGCTGTTAAAAGCAGCTTTAAATCTATGGTGCGTTTTCACTGGATGTCGTCAAAAGAGGGGTTTTTCTTTCGAGGCTGTGACTGACAACAGTGGTGTGGGGGCCTAGTCGTGAGTGCGACGACTGTTTGTTTGATGTCAGGAGATATTTCTTGGCCTCGTTCACTACCAGATTCGTTTGCTTCGTTTCCTTATCCATTCTGGAGAAAGCAGAGCTAACGGCGCGGTTGTTGTGGCCAACGATATCAATATCATCGGCGTATGCCAGCAACTGTAGACGTTTATAGAATATGGTACCTAATTAGTTCTGCAGCTCAAACTATTTTCTCCAAGAGTAGACTRAAGCAGTGCTGTTAAAAGCAGCTTTAAATCCTTGGTGCGTTTTCACTGGATGTCGTCAAAAGAGGGGTTTTTCTTTCGAGGCTGTTGTTTCATTTTCAGTGGGTACGTTTTTTACGTTTCGGGCCCCAAACCAAGCGCACAACTCTGATGTGGAATGGTTAGCTTTCTCATTTAAGCACGCCTTCAATCGGTTGTTCTTTGCCTACCCAGAGGATATTTGATCTAAGAACAGAAGATGTGGGCTATGACTCAAGCAGCAACTCAAGTAAAATAATCATTTCTAGACACTCCCATGTAAATGGTAATCAGAGAGCTTACCTCACTTGCGTGAACTTCTCCACATGACTCTATACACTTGACGTTGTCGATTGTCATCAGTAATAATCTGCATCAAAAACGGATAGGCTTTTTTAAAATTCAGTTTCCCTTATTTAAATGATCCAAACGGGTTTTTGTTCAAGGTTTAGCTCTTGGGCAATAAAAAGTGCTCACATAACGATCCGTCTCGACCGACTCGACAATTTAAGTTATTTTAAGGATATTTTCGATAGTTGGTCTTTCAGAGCGTGGTGCCTGCTAGAAACTTCTTGGCTAAGTTAAAATACCAGTGCATACATTTCAGGGTATAAAAAATTATAAAGGAAAATGATAATATTTAATAGAACCAAGGATCTCAAAAGCCTCACAATAGTTTTGCCATATCATCGCATCATTCCGATACGTATGTATGTATATAAATCAGTTCGATTATTCCCTTCCGAACAAAAATTAGTTGAGCTATGGTATATGTACATGCTTTGTATAGTAAGCAAAGATGTTTGTTATGGACACTTGGCGTCACATAAATGTGGCTAGTAACCAAGGAAACCAAGAAGGAGAGTAAACAAACCAGCTGAGTGACCGGTACATTTTCATTTCTTGTTTTAAAGGTACACATTCGAGTTTGAAATAATATACATATATATTTTTTTCAAATAAACCAATTATTAACCTTAATATTACAATATATAGCACTAGGCAAAATATATTGTGTTAATAATGCTGCATCAAGGCATAATCTTAAGGGAAGGCCATATAACGCGAACCATCTACAATTTGGTAAAAATTGATTTGACTGTGTCGATCAAGAGACTCATTTAAATATTTTCTGTGATATTTGGGGTCGTAGATCAAAGACAAACGCTACGATGATGTGATTGAGTGCATGGTGAGTTTCGGTGAGGCAGCTAACACCAGAGCGGGTCTCTCTACGCTGGGCTATTGCTACTATCACGCACAGAAATATGAAGAGGCCGCGACTTGCTACGAGCAATTGTGCACGCTGGTGCCAAAGGAAGCAAAATATAAGTAAGTGCAATAGTACTTCAATTGGTTCAGGACGAGCTAATGAACTACCAAAATCAATTTTAGATTTTATTATGCACAATCGCTCTACCAGGCGGGTATTTTCGGGGATGCACTGCGCACCTTAAAGCAAATCAGCGAACACGAAGGACTGCGGGAGTCTTGCTTACAACTACAGAGCGCCATACTCTACTCCAGTGAGGACTTTGCGGGCGCGCAGAGCGTATTGAATCAACGTGCCGCCGGCAATGCGGAAACACTCAACGATGAAGGCTGTCTACTCTTTCATGCCGACCAATTTGAGAAGGCGGTACAGCGTTTCTCGAACGCTTTGAAGGTGGGCGGCTTTAATCCGCTGGTGGCATACAATTTGGCATTATCGCATTTTCACAAGAAGGAAAAGACCCAAGCCGTTGAATACACTAGTGAGTACAAAACGGAAAGTGCGAGCAAATTGAAATTAAAACCAAATTGGTTGTTTTATCTTTTCGCCTCTTATTTTGCACTTTCGCCCTGAAAGCGGAGATTGTGGACCGCGGCATACGCAATCATCCGGAGTTGGGCATTGGCGCGCAAATCGATACTGACGGCAGTGCGCGCAGTGTTGGCAATCCAATTACGATGGCCATGTCGGGCATAACACAGGCGTTGAACTTGAAAGCGGCTATCGAGTATCAGGATGGCAATTGTACGTATTCAATTACAGCTGTGTTAGCGTTGTTCTTTATATGTGTGTCTTTTTTGTCATTTCTTAGTGGATGCGGCACACGATTCGCTGTTGGATTTGCCGCCACGCTCCGAAAGTGAATTAGATCCGGTTACATTGCATAATATGGCATTGACCGATCCGAAAGGTCCGGTAGCCGGTTTGCGAAAATTGGCGTTTCTTTTGCAGCTTGGACCACCAGCTTGTCCCAAGGAGACTTTTGCGAATATCTTATTGATTTGTTGTAAACATGAAATGTACGAAATGGCTGCCGATATACTGGCGGAGCATACGGATCTAACCTATAAATATCTGTCGCAGGTAGTTATGACGGAGGAAATTTTTAATATTCATTTCTATTAGTTTGGGACTTAAGTGTTTAAGGATGAAAAAGTGTGTGGCTTCACTGTCTATAATTAGATTTGATCGAGAATTGTACAGATTGGTACTTCTACGCATTTTGAACATTTCTCAAATATTGTGCTTTAATGGAGTTTTATAGCTTTTAAACTACATATTAAAGGTTTAGCGGAGGCTTTGGTGTTGACAGAAATACGCTGAATAGAAGACGATTACTATAAAAGAATCAAAATTCCATACCTAATTCGAGGTGCTAAAGAGATGGAGATAATCATTTTTTGGTAACTTTTCAATTGAAAAATATTCCTAGAACTGGATAACTGCTCTTGTAACCGGAACCACATAACAATATTTGTTCTATCTCATTTATTAAACGCTGAACACTATTAATAAAGAAGAAGCTGTGAAACGAGTTAGAATTTTCTTAAAATATCCAAAATGTCTTTAATTTTGAGAGCCATCGTTTGTCAAAACATCTAGAAGATGTTTATGTAGCTAATTATATTTAGACGCAATAAAAATATTAGAGAAAATTCTTTTGTAATGTTTTAGTCCGATTCCAGGTTTTTTTGTTGGCAAAGACTGTTTAATAAATCTCTCCTTTTACTTTCCTTCCTTCTCCAATGAAACCAGTATCTCTACGAGCTGCTCGACGCTTTGATAACTGCACAAACCTCTTCGGAATTGGCAGAGAAAAAATTAGGAGTCTTAGCCTCGAGCTTAGCGGGCAAACTACGCAGTCTGGCTGCCAAAGTGCAAGAGATGCGCGGCACCACCGATCAACTGGCGCTACGCAGTGCTCTGCAGGACTACGAGAACGCTTTGGAACTGTGAGTAATTTACTTTGATTACTTTTATATAACTTAATCAAATATATCAAATTTACCACAACACTCAGTTACATGCCGGTTGTGTTGGCACGCGCTTGGATTTACTGGCGTGATGACGACTTTGTCGGCGCCGAGCGTGAGTTCCGCGCCAGTGCTGAATTCTGTTCGGAGAACTCCGTTTGGCGTCTCAATGCCGGTCACGTGCTCTTCATGCAGGGCGACAAGTACAAAGAGTCCGCAGCATTCTATGAGCCGATCGTACGGCAGCACAATGATGACGTAAGCGCAAACATTCATAGTTTAGGAATATATAGTATGTTGTTATTTGAATGTTATTCTCATGCAGATAATGTCAGTTCCCGCGGCGGTTTTAGCAAATCTCTGCGTCTCATACATAATGACCTTTCAAAATGAAGAAGCCGAGGAGCTGATGCGCAAAGTGGAGAAAGCCGAAGAATTGAAGGGCAACATGGGCAAGCAGTATCATCATTTGTGCATAGTTAATCTAGTTGTGGGCACACTGTATTGTGCGAAATCCAATTATGAATTCGGTTTGTCGCGCATTGCGCACGCTTTGGATGGCGGCAATGGTGCTCGTCTCTATGCAGACACTTGGCTGCATGTGAAGCGTTGTGTGTTGGGTCTACTCACAGGTATGGCGAAACAGAATATTATTCTGCCATATCCAGCTGTGCAGGAGGTGCTGAATTTCTTGAAATCTTGTGAAGGTGAGGTTTTTATAATAACGCTTGAGTGGCTCTTGTATATTTTAAACATACCAAAGTCTCAAGGTTCTAAGAGCCGAAAAATTTTTAACCTTAACAATTTAATCTGAGAATTTTTATTAGACTTAATTAAACCTGTATCTGAGTATATAAAAATTTGAATATTAACATTTTGATACAATGTGGTAGCTAACTTCAATAGTAATTGCATTTTTTATGATCCTGACCTCTGGTTTAAAAGAGACTAACCACACTCCTTAATTTAAGCTAGCATTAGCGGTTAAAATTGCTTTATTATTATTTTTTAATGCGAAATATTTCAGTTTACGGTCTCTTCACACCCGCCAACATCTATGCCGCCACTGACGAAGTGCCCGCTGAACCCTTAACCATCGGCTTGGAAGCAAGAAAGCTGCGTCTACTGTTGATTAAACTGAGCGAATATGAGCAGTGAACTGAATTTTATAAATTATAAAGTTGTTTCGTATGTATTTACTTCTACAAGAACGTTATTTTATTTGTATATATGTATGTTCTCATATAATATATATGTATACGTATAATTAAACGATTACATTACAAAATATATCAACTTAAAAGATCGGTAAAAATATTGTATTTAAATATTAGTCGTGATGAGTATAATTATAATTTTTTTTTTCTTTTTGTTTTATAAAATATTTTATTTATGATTATTTGCATTTTTTGGCCGTGAAAATTTACGTCGCAAAACATTTTATTATTTATTTTTGTTTAGGTATGACTTTTGCCAATATATTTAATTTAGGATTATTTTGTTCGTATTGATGTTATGATTAATGTGTGAGCATTTACTAAAAAAACTAATTACTGCATTATTTAACTTATTCACTTATTTGTGAATAATCTTATATGAACTGCTTGCTCGTGTTTAAATCGTTTTACTCCAGCACTGCCGATGAGGCCATTTCGCTGACACCACAGGTATTATCGCCGCGGTAGACGCGATAGTAACCTTGTTCGCCCCATTTGGGTCCCCATGAATTCTTCACAATCCAGTAGGGCAATGTCTTCTTGAACATGGGATAGTCGGAGACACCATAGCCGACAATAAGTACGCCATGGTCGAGATTCTTTTTAGAACACAATGCCTTCCAAGGGTGAGAGACACCGCCGCGATAGAACTGCATAGCATTGGCGTTAATACCTGCAACAGAGAGCAGTTTTAAACAAAATGAGAACAAAAATACAAAATATAGTGAAAAATTTATAAGCTAATCAGTGTTGGTATAAAGGTGCCTCGGCTTTCTTTTCAATCAATGAGAATTCAGTAATCGTTAGTTTAAAGGCGGCACTCGTAGAGTGAAATTCTTTAAAATTTCATTTTTAATTTTTGCATATTTTATTAATGTGTACCTTTAAAACAACACACTAACGGTTTAAAAGAACATTTCAAACATATTTTGTGGTTTTCAAAGTGTAAGCTCTCAGTTTAGTTTATTTTTGTTTTTTCTCGAAACATGATTTTTCGAATTTGCTGCAATGATTACTCGGATGATGATCACATCATCCAAAGACCTAGCATTTTTTGGTTTGATTAATAATGAACGCCATACGTAGGTTGCGGAATTTGGCAGGTCGAAATTTGGCGGAATTAGTGTTGAAATATGGAAAATTACAATTTTATCGTAAAGCTTGACATTTTTAATGGTATGCAGCCTCAGAACTACAAGTATTTGTATATACAGTCACTTAAAATATTCTTCACGACAAAAGAATGGAATTAAGCCGCCAAATTGTTTGCTCTATTTTGCTTTACAACTCTCAACGAGGATTAATTCATCAAGGGGGCATAGATGAACTTAATTAAATTCTAGACGATGAAGCTGCATCTAAGACCATTGTTTATAGATGGTATGGTGAATTCAATGGAGGTCATAAATCATCGGGAAGGTCGTCCAAAATCAGTTGTTCCTCCGAAAACTTTTGATGCTGTGCGCCAGCTGATATTGCAAGATCGTCATGTGCCCTATCACGAAATCGAGACAACTATGGATATTAGTGGGACCAACATACTTTTTCGCAGTAAAAAAATTTGTTCACGGTGTATCCTATACAATTTGTGGATAGCTCCACAAAAAGGCTCTTGAGGAATAATTGATTGATAACACCCTTATAACATTGTGACAGGTGACGAAATGTGGATTTACGCATATGAGCCCGAAAGTAAATATTAGCCGACTGTATTGGCCTTCCAAGCAAAAAGTTGCCCTTTTTTTTGGAAACATTCGACATGTCGCAACCATACCACTGGAACAACGCAGAGCAATAAAATCTGAGTGGCGCACAACCATTTATTGTCAGTTGTCTTTCAAGAAATCAGGAAACCAACCGACAAGGAAGGATTACTCTGCACCACGACAATGATAACTCGCACACATCGACTGAAACAACTGCATTTTCGAGCACTAAAACATCGATTTGATGACTCATCCTCCGTATAATCGTGAATTATTGCGAACTATCTTTAAGTTTTAGGGCAAACTAAATTAACTAACCTATTTGGGCGCACGCGTGAAGTTTGAACGCCATATGACAATTAGTTTTTGTTCGGTACTTGTTTGTTTACGAATCGAAAATTTTGCCTAACGATTTTCACCGTGAGGAAAAATAACCAACGAGATTACTTGAAGTTTTGTGTTTTTTATAGAATAACAAGTATGGAATCACTGGACAATGTTGCAGAAGTGTTTTCGAAACTCTAATGTAGTATCACGAACACAAGCCACCGAAACTTCCCTTATTCGGGTTGTCCATCTTATGTCCACCCGAAAAACTTAAAGAAACAGTTCTTGAAAATCGTCGTGTTGGCTTCAGAATGATAAAAGAGGATCTAAACATTATTTATGGATCGACACAACATATATTGGATAATGTTTTGGGCATGAATCGTGTCAATGGCAGATCCTTGCCAAAAGACCTGAATCATTTGCAAAACCAATCGAGTAAAGATCCTGTTAACGTAGCTGTGGATCCTACATTCATCAAACCCATCTTAAACTCTAACAAAACGTGGGATAATGGATCAGATGGCACTTGCCAATTTGTTTAAGCTTCCTTCCAAATGATTCATCTAGAGATGCTACGGCTTAGTGTAGCCGTACCTCTGTCATGGATTTTGGCGGGTTACAATTACAATCTTGCTCAAGGTCGCGAACGGTTTCCCTCGTACGAATTCGAAACGATATTTATCGAAAAACATTACTACCTTATTTCAAATAGCGAAAGGAAAGATCTAGAGTCGAATATTTTCCATAAAGCGCTTGCTACTCTAAGTCTCTTCTGTAATTCGGTAATTGACCGCGTGTTGTGACCAAATTCCCTAAGCAATCTCTCGAATTGTTGCGTCAACATCGGAGTTATGGAATGCACAATGCCTCGTTAAAACGGATATACTTAACACAGCGCCTTTCTGACGAGTATGCCGATCAAATGATTAATTTTAATAACGGTAATAATAATACCTAACACTTCAACTACTCACCAATTGAAATGGGTCCATTGGCAATCAGCCATTGTGCGATGGCGGTCTCATTCTTTGGCAAATCAACACCGCCCTTAACCTTGACGTGTACCTTCGACTTGCTGAATTTACACTGGTCTTTGCGTCCCTCATACGGGTAATCGGACTCCAATTCCAAGCCACCAATATGCTCTATCGCTCTGCAATTTAAAGAATATAATAGGTATATAAATATCTATGTATGTATGTATGCTATTACAAAGTGAAGAGTGAAGACATTTGCAATAACAAGCACACTTACTCGTAGGCATTGTCCATCAAACCGCCATTGCAGGCCGAGTCACTTGTGTCGCAATCAAGCAACTCCTGCTCAGAGTATTCCTCCAGCTTGCCCGTCTTCACTGCATGTAAGCCCTCGACATTGCCCGTCACACTGAAGGCCCAACACGAACCGCACATGCCCTGATTCTTCACCTTCGAAATGACACCCTTCTCTCGCCAATCAAATTCCTTTGGCAACTCAATATTGGGAATCACAGCTGGCGCATTCTTACTTGGCTTATCCTCGGAGCGTTGCCACAGGCCAGTACGTTGTTTGTATTCCGTGCTAGTTAAGTCAGCGAATTCTGTAATACCATACTTGGCGCTACCTGTGAGTGTAGAGAACAGCAGGCGGTTGGGAATGTGAATAAAGAAGCAAGAGTAAACACAAAAAAGGAGGATATTAAGTATTTGATAGCGCACGTTCCAAGCAACAGAAGTGAAACTTTTGCCTAGACTTGCACGAGTTGCACATACAAATGTAGATATACATATGTATACACATATATAGCAAGTATATTTTAGTTTCTCGCTTACCCATCTCATTACGATTCAATTCTTTGATAATTTCCAAGTTTTGTTTGAAAATACGCAAACGCATTTGATGCTCCATTGCGGTGTGATAGCGGCGATTGTATTTAATTTGGAATTTGCTAAATAAATGCTCGGTTTTGTCCAAACTGTGGTGATTGCGTTTCTTGTGTGTCTTCTTTTCCAGTTGCTCTACCGAGCGACTGTGGCGCCGTTTCGCCAATTCCTTATTGGGACAGTCAAAGGTCACCTCATAGCCATTGGGCAACCATGGTTGTGCCCAAATCTTGACAGTGCAGCGTTCCTTCTCATCATTCTCATTGAAGAGCTCAACATCGATTTTCGTCAACGTGCCCGAAACCACCTGTGTGGTGGCCGAATAGACTTTTGAAATTCTGCAAATTACATAGATTTTTCTTTAGAATATTTGAGTTATATGGACGTATATATGTAGAATAACCTGTAATTGGGACCATCGCCGGCAGCAAGTTTGTCAAGTGACGCCTGCAGACGTTGCTCGGCATCCTTTTTGTCCAATGTCTTAGCACCACCAACTAGATTTGAGCTACGTTTGGCACGAGCATGCACCTGAAATTAAACAAATTGAAAAATAAATTTTAGTACTTAATTCAATATTAAACAGTTTTTGTTTTTACTGCTTAATAAGTGAGACACAATCATTTTTATTTTAGCAAAAGTGTTATTAAAATAAATCGCCTCGAGCGTAATCGAGCGCTCAATTTTTGCTTAACTTTGTTAAAACTTTACCAAATTTTTATTTGACGAGAATCTTACGTAGTGGTCAATCATTTGTTTCACTTAGTTTATAGTTTTTTCATTTTGCAGTACTACTTTAGAAGGCACTTATTACTCAAACAAACACCCTGAAATTTAAAAAAAAATATGAGAAAGTACATCACCTCCTTCATTCATTGTTACTTAAGAGAGTACTCTTTTGTCGTCCAGTAACAAAAGCATGAGATTTAAATAAGACTAAGAGACAGATGGAACGAATTTTAGATACACTCGCACATTTCATGTAAGGACTCATATACAAACTTCCGTTGCATCGTCGACTTTCAATATACAGGACGGCATTGTAATTATTTGCGCTCATTCAATAATCAACAAAACA